GTTTTTTTCAAATTTTAGGATCCCTAGGCTTTTTATATGTATCTACTAAATCAAGTTGTTAATTGTGTTACTCAAGTACTGCATGTATTCACTAATATTTTGCCTGATTGGCTTTATCAATAATTGAGAAAGGTGTATTGAAATGTCTTTCTCTCTGTGGACCTGTTAGGGTTCACATTCTATATTTATTTATTTATTTATTTTGCCTTGTGGTGCTGGGGATCAAACCCAGGGCCTCATGCACACTAGGCAAGCACTCTACCACTGAGCCACATCCCAGTTCTGTATAGTTACCTTTTAATATAATTGTTTTGAATAGTTTGAAATGTTAAGCAAAATATAGAACTATCTGATAGGTTGTTAAGCAACTGTTACATTTCTAAGATAGTAACTCTGTTTCTGGATTTATTTGTGAGGGTTTTTCTTTTATTTCTGCTTAATAAAAGGCTTCCTATTAAAATATTCAAGTCATAATCCTGTTTATCTCTAGCAGTGGTTTTGTTTTGAAGTGCAGCTTTCTCCTAAGAATGAAACTTTCTTGCTTTGTGTCTTTTGTGTGAACATTGGGCAGGCGTAGCTTCTTCTGTCTTCAGACCTTTACGTATGCTTTACTTAGAGTTGTCTCTTGGACGTGCCAAACAACTGTACTTTAAAGGGTTCTGACTGGATCATCTGTCTTTTCACTGCCAAGTTTAGTCTGCTTGTGTTAATTTTGGCTGTTAATTCACTGATATTTGCTTCATCCATCTGAGCTCATAACATTTGTTCTATTTTCCCCTCCTTTTCCCTCTTTCATATGGAGTGATGGTTTTAATAGCTTGTTTGCTTAAATGTCACATTTTTGCCTCTGCTAGTTTAACAACTGTAGATTTTGTTTCTGCCTGTTGGTGTTCCTTGGTGATTTTATGAAGTGTGCCCACTCTACTGCTCCTGAGCTGACCTCCCTTCCAGCAGCACAAGGCTCAGAGCAGTGGGTCTGGTCGTGTTGTACCACCTTCCTCCTTATTGCTGTCCAGCATGTTAGTCCTTAAAGTACAATCCCACAAAGTCACAATCATTGTTTTGATCTCATAGCGATGTTTATGCACATCCTCCATTTTGTTGACTTCTCAGTGTTGGGCCCTCTCATTCTTGTGTTACACACTCCTTGGCATGGTTTCTTTATGAAGGACGGACATTCCTGCTTCAACATGTGTGTGCATTCCAGAAAACACAATTACTGAAAATATTAGGCCTGTGGGGAAGAGAGGGTCTGTGTTACTCTGCAGAAGCAAAACAATCCTAATAAAAATTTACCAGAGCCTAATCTCCACTGGCATCAGCACCCAGTGTTGAAAAGCCAGTCCTTTGCAGCTCAAATTATGCTCTCTGTTGAGGTATTGGATCTGGGGTGGCTGCTTTCTGGGGAGCCTGGCCTTCTCCTATGCTAGGAGGACATGCATGCTCACCGAGGGGCTTACTCTCTATAACCCTGTCCTCAGGTCTTGCTCCTCAGGACTCAGCCATCGTCACCTTCAAACTCCAGTCTTTACTACCTTGTCCCAGGGAAAGGTTGCCTTTGCTTGAATTCTGTTCCAGGTACAACAAGTAGGAAAACAATCTCTAGGAAAATCTGGGTGTGTGTGAGGGCTTTGCTGGCTTGTCTTCCTGTGGACAGCTGCCCCTGGGTTCTGTGTTGGCTGACCTCAGTGCCTTAGACAAGCAGGCTGTGTGTTTTCTTCTGCTGTGACGGTGGCTTTCAGTGGAAGGGTTAGTCCACTTTAAGCTGCTCTGCCATAGGTCATGGTAGTGTTGGGTCAGCTTTGTAGACTTTTATTGCTTGTCCATTTTTCAAGGTTCATTTTTACTTCTTATATATTTTTTATTTCTCATCTAAAACTTTCTATATTTGAAGTCAACATGAGCACAAACAAATTACTTGTCATTTCTACTGTTTTCCAGTGACAGTAGCCTTGCTTCCTTGTGTGTTTGGTGGTATTTCTATTTCATATTCATTTGTGACCACTCTCCATTATCCCTTTCTCTCTTGGGGCTTTGTGAGATAATTAAGCCTTATAGAAAATGAATTCGTTGCCTATTTTTTAGCTTTCCAAGAAGGGTGTCTAGCTAGTGCCATTCCAGATGTGAATGAGAGAAATTCTTTCTGTCACAGAAGTCTCGGGAAAGTTGGACTTGAATTCTCTCCAGATTCTCCTAGTCTATGGGATTCTGTGGGCCAAATGAGGAATGTCTTTGTCAGGAGGATTAATGCATGGTTTTCCCAGAAGCCAGGGGAGTTCAAGCATGCTCACATGGGCCTCTTTTAGGGCTGCAGTTTGACACAGGAGGCCCATTCCCCTTCCTGCCTTGCAGTGAGGGCCATGGTCAGGGCTCCCATACAGCACTGGTGGCACTTTTCCCAAGACAGTCTCTCAGGCAGCCTCCTTCCTCAAGTTATGCAACTCTAGTGACTGGAGTTTTGTTACTGCTGAGTCTTTTTAATAACCTGCTTTTAACAATGAATTCATTCAGTCTGTAGCAATTTTCATTTTTACTCTTTTTTAAATTTTTATTAAAGAAATTGTTTTTGTAGCCATATATAGACAACATGACTTTATTTTATTTGTTTATTTTTGTGTGGTGCTGAGGATGGAACCCAGGGCCTCACACATGTGAGGAAAGCACTCTGCCGCTGAGCCACGGCTCCAGCCCCCTTTATCTTTTTTCCTTTCTGCTTAAACTTCATGGGCAGCTTCCCTCACATTCTATTATAGTAAGTCTGTTCTGGAAGAAGTTGTTTAGTTCTGGCCCCGGCGTCTTTGTTCCCTTCCTTCTAAGCCACAAAATTCTTCACTGAGTCCAGATTGGTTCTTTCCCCAGTTTACTTACCTTTGGGTTTGTTTTATTGTTATTGGGGAAGAGTTTGAAAAGGTGTGGTGTTTAATAATGAATATTTGTTACTTTAAAAGTAATATGTGCTCATCATGGAAACACTTAGTGACATTGCTGTTGGAGCACCACACTGTGATCACTGCAGCCAACATTTGGTGTTGCTTTCCCCAACAAGCCCTGTTTCTCCTGCTGTCAGGCTCGTTTGGAACACCAGGTGTGGGGCTGTGTTTCCCCCCCCCCTCTCTCTCTGTTTTTCAGCACTGGAAATTAAAGCCATGGCACTCTACCACTGAGTCATATCCACAATTTTTTTTTTTTTTGCAAAGTTGCAATCCTCCTGCGTCAGCCTCCCTGCCTGGGATCACAGCCATGCCATTGCACCTGGCTCTCCACTTCTTTTTAATTTACCTTATCATATGCCTCTTCTTATGTTATTTAAACTCTTCTAGACATTTTAAATATTTATTACATGGTACTTCATATAAATATTGAATATTTACTTGACTGATAGAAGTTGCTCATTTTATAATTTTAACTTTAAAAGAACTTATAACAAAGACTTCTATGAGTACAGATTTTTTTGTGCATACTTGATTTCCTTTGGAGATAATGTCTTATGAATTAATAGAATTGTTTAGTGTTTTAAGTAAGCATTGCCTGTTACTTTATCAGAATATTATATAATTTACATTTTATTTTTTAAAAAATATTTATTTTTTAGAAGTAGTTGAACACAGTACCTTCATTTTATTTATTTTTTTATGTGGTGCTGAGGATTGAACCAGTGCCACACACTTGTTAGATGAGTGCTCTACCGCTGAGTCACTGAGCCACAACCCCAGCCCCAATATAATTTACATTTTCATTAGGGAAACTGGATAGTGTCAATTTCAAAAGCGGCTACACTGGAAGTGCTTGCAGAAGGTCATCTCAGTTCTGAAGTGGCAGCTGTGCTTTTCCCCATTCTCAATGTTAGTGCAGCCGTTTCCTCTGCCCAGTGGTTCCAAACAGGACCACAGAGTGGCCGGCAATGGGGGAGAAGCTGGGAGAGGCTGGCCTCAGCAGGCTCTGGGAATCAGCTCCTTTGTTTTGGTTGCTCTTTGGCATCCTCTTTGCCTTTGTTTCCTTAAAGAAGTGGATGTAAAATGCAGCAGTGTGTGTGTGGGGGTGCTCAGGTCACTGTACTGTCCCCCTCAGTGCTCTGAGGTCTCAGGGACTCTGTCAGCCATAAGAACTGAAATGCTCATTATCACAGTTAAAAACGCAGACTTGTTGCCAGGTGTGGTGGTACATGTCTACACTCCCAGTGACTTGGGAGGCTGAAGCAGGAGGATTACAAGTTCAAGGCCAGTCTCAGCAACTTTGTAAGACCCTATTGCAAAATAAAACATAAAAAGGACTGGGGATACAGCTTAGTGGTAGAGTACTCCTGGGTTTAATCCCCAGTACTGGAAGAAGGAAAAAAGAAAAAGGAAAAAGATTCATTGAGGGAAATTTGCATGATCTACCTAAAATGAATGAAGCCCACAGCAATTTTACTAAGGGAGTTTAATCTGTGGGAGCAAAAGTTATAGTTGTGGGGAGGAGAGCAGAGGGGCCCCAGCAGAGGGGCCATGATGAGCAGGAATGCAGTGTGAGTCCAGGAGAAAGAACTGCATGCAGGGGGCCAGGAGAACTTGCCTGGGCAACCATCTTCCTGGATGCCCTGGAGTAGCATGGCCCTTCTCCACGCCAAGCCAGGCTGATGGCAGGATGCAGGCAGCACTGTGGGTCAGGGAGCCCCAGGCCGGCTCTGTTCTGCCATCTTGTAGCTCTGAGATCCCCAGGTGGAGAGAAGGGCTCCCAGGTGCTGGCACTGAGCAATACTGGAGGCCTTGGTGTCCCCTGAGGGCACAGTGCCTAGCTTGGTGCTCCTTTCTTACAATAGCCAAGCAGGAGGTGGGCAAAGGCCTGTTGGAGTCTGAGGCAGATGGCCTATGCCTCCAGCTCTGGAAAGTGCTGGCCCTGCCTGTTGTGGTCCTGCTCTGCCTGGGTAGCGGTATTGTCAACCACATGCCCTTCCCCAGGGGGTCCATATGTGGGCTCTATGTGCACCACACCCCTAACTTAGAGGCCCTGTGTCCTCGCAGGTGGTAACCTGGACCTGGAGAGCCAAGCAGAGGGGAAGAAGGAGGCAGAAGCTGATGATATGCTGAGGAGTGGCCCCCGGCCCATCGTCCCGTACAGCTCCATGTTCTGTCTAAGCCCCACTAACCTGTGAGTCTCTCGCTCCTGTGTGTGTGTGTGTGTGTGCTGGTCTGGTCCTCCATTGCCATGACCCGTGTGAGCTCAGCAGTCAATATGTGTGGAATGTGCACCATGAGGGGCTGATTCTGTGCACTTTGTCCATGTGAATGGCGTCAGTCAGCAATCCCCTGATGCACACCCCATCACCTCATTTTGTAGATGGAACGCCCAAAAGACAGATGCAGACTGGCCTCTTAATGGGTCCCTGCCCCTGCCTGTGGTATGGCTCATGGCTGCACACAGGGACTCTATATCCATCATGCGTGCCCACCCTGCCTTTCCATCATGCTGTTGCCCATGCATGAAATGTTCCCATTTCAAGCATGTGTTCCCTCCTGTGCTGATCTGTCATGGATTCATCCTCCACTTCTCAGTTCAGTGATTCGTTAATCCAGCTGACATTTATGTGTGAACAGCATCTTCCGTGTTGGGAATATGCATCAGTCACCAAGACAGACAAGAGCACCTGTCCTTACCAGGTGCATGGGAATGGGAGAGGCAGATGACCAACAGGAGAAGTCAGGGGGTCACTAGATGCCACAGTGATAAGTGCTAGGAAGAAACATGGGGTGGGGATGAGAAAGGTCAGTGGGGGCTCAAGCTAAAGCACAGGCTTGAGGAAAGGGAGGGAGAGTGCTCTGGGAAGAGTGGAGAGTGGGAGTGAAGGTGGAACTCCACAGAAGCCAGTGAGGACCAGGACATGCTTCCAGTGCAGGAGAGGGCTGCTCTGTGCAGGAATGCTGTACAGTTCCTAAACCTCTCCCTCTACTCTACCTGTAGCTCCTGGTTCTGTGCAGGGCCAGGTGTCCATGTTGTTGGGCTTGGGGGTGCCACAGAAAGCAGGTAAATGAATGCAGGTACACTCGCAAAGAATGTTTCTCACACAGTGGGACTGACCTTATCTGGCCAGGAGCTGTCATGTGCTGACCCTGATGTAAATTTCTGGCTTCTGAACCTGGGAGCCCTGTTAGGAATCCTAGTCACTACCAGTCACTTGGCCATTGTCCCCTGGCCATGGAGACACTGGGTAAAACTCCACTCTGGTGCCAGCCTTTTTATGTTGGCCAGCGTGAGTCCTTCCTATTGGGGAGGCCAGCACCTGCCCCAGCACCTACCCCAGCTCATGGGCCCTGTCCCATCTGTGCCTATCTTCACAGGCTTCGCCGCTTCTGTCATTACATCGTCACTATGCGGTACTTTGAAATGGTCATTCTTGTGGTCATTGCCCTGAGCAGCATCGCCTTGGCTGCTGAGGATCCTGTGCGGACAGACTCTTCCAGGAACAATGTGAGTGGCAGGGTTGGTGGCCCCATCAGGCTGCGGGGTGCCCAGGGATGGGGGTGTGCAGGGCCTGTCTTCTTATGTGACACACGACCCTGAACCACTCTGTTTGTCCTTCCTGTGGGTAGTGGAACCAAATATCTGAGGATGCCACTTCCTCCAGCCCCCGTTACAGACGTCCTGGGGCAGAGCTGGGGTTTTAGTTTGTGGTGGGGGGCTGTTTTCAGAGGGACGCTTGTCTCAGAGACCCCACAGACTGTTGTCTTCTGCTCAGAGGCCTGGTGGGGGGACCTGGAACTCATGGGCCTGTCTCTGGCTCCTGGCCCAAGCCCTGAGAGAATCCCTGCTTCTGGTTCTAGGCTCTGAAGTACATGGATTACATCTTCACAGGTGTCTTTACCTTTGAGATGGTGATGAAGGTGAGATGTGGCTCCTGTGGCCTTGCACAAAGGTGCGTGCAGCGTGTACTGGCCATGTGCTCAGGGACCGAATGTGCGCGTGTGCAGATGTGAAGGTGTGCTATGTGTGTGCGACATGCTGCCCCTCACAGAGGGCTCTCCGCATCACACCAACCCTGGGCGTACTCCCAGAGGCACCCTGTCTCCCTGCACTTGACTCTGGAACACAGGTTATGGGCTTTCTTTAAATTGTGTGTGTGGACTCAGTCCTTCCTCTAGGATTGCCTGGCAGCTGCAAAGGGAATGGGGGCAGGGGACACAGGGATCTTGGGGAGAGAGGACTTGGCTGGAGGATTGTTGGCTTTGAATGCTGAAGACTACATGTATCAGGAATCCAGGGTTTGATGACAGATTAAATTCACCGTGTCATTGCAACCTCATCTTCCTCTGCAGGGCCCCTGTGCACATTTGGCAAGGGTGTCCTGAGGTATGTTTGCATAGATGTGTGTCCAGCTGAACATCTGTGACTTCAGTGTAGCCTAAGTTGTGGCAGCGTGCAGTGTACTTGGGGTGTTTCCATGTGCGGAGCACTCACAAGGGTGCCCAAACATGTTACCTCTGCTATTCTGTGCACTTGCAAAGTCGCATACTGACACAGAACTCACAGATGATGAAGCTGAGGCTGAGTCACGGTTCTTGTCAGAATCACAGTACTAGGTGTAGCAGAGCCAGCATGAGAATGAAAGTCCTTGGAATTCTGACCAGCAGTTCTTCCCACTGCCCTGAGCTGACCCTCCTAAGTCTGGGTAAGGTGTGAGCTCCTTGGAGCTGGAGCTGAGTGTGTGCCTGTCCCCAGCAGTGGAGGGGTGAATGGAGACAGAGACTTCACCAACTCATGGGGATCCAGGAAGCTGGGCACCAAGCAGCCATGCACCTTGTGGAGTACCTGGGTCGAGGCTTCTTTGAGGCCATCAGAGGCTGTAACCTACAAAAGTGTAGGAAGGTGGATAGAGCTGCATGGAAGTCTTAGATGTGCGTACTTGTGCACTGAGCTTCCTGCTGGAAGGGTGTGCCTAGACCATGCCTTGCCCCACGGCTGGAGCCTGGCTCTGCCTCTCTTTCTGGAATATACTGTTCCCTAATGTGTGTTTTTCCTTGTAGATGATTGACTTAGGACTGCTGCTGCACCCTGGAGCCTACTTTCGGGACCTGTGGAACATTTTGGATTTCATTGTGGTCAGTGGGGCCCTGGTGGCATTTGCCTTCTCGTAAGTAATCATATCTACTCTGGATCCTGTGGGTGCAATCCCAGGACCATACTGGGGTGTGGGGGTGTGGGAGAGAGGGAAAGGAACACTGATGGTCTCCCTAGATGTGGCTCTGTGACTGCCCAGGGGGGGACTGTCCCTGCCTGCTGGGACTGGACCGTGTAGGTTAGGAGGATCCATGGCCCATCTGTTCCCAGCACAGCCTCTGGTTCTGGGATGGGATGTGCAGCCTCTCTGGCTTTTCGGCCTCTGCCTTGGGGGGTCCTTTGGAGTATATTTACCTGCTTGGACGTCAGTACCTGACCTGTGTTTTCTGCCCCAGTGAGAGCTGGTGGACCCCTTTCCTGTGGGGGTGAGAGTGTTCCTTTTGACCCTTGAATGAGTGATGTTCATCTGGGTGGGTAGCTGGGTGGTGGGTAGCTCCCTCAGGCCCTGTGAGGGAGTGGGGTGCTTGGGCAGGAGGCATGAGGGAAGTTGTGGGGTGCTATCCAGACACAAGGAAAACCCCAGTAGAGACCAGACACTGAGAGAAGTTTCTTCATCTTCCCTGCCCCCGGGGTGGGATACACTGACAGAGGCCCCAACTCTGCCTCCCTTAGCACTGACTCTGTTCTCTTTGTCTTCCTGTTGCTGGACTCCGGTAGGAGCTTCATGGGGTAATGCCTCTCCCTCCCCCTTACTGCCCGACATCATGGCACACCCACAGCCTCCACTGGCCTCACTCTCATCCATTCATCTCCACCCCATCTGGGCTGCATGCTGCCAGGAATCATCCCCAAGCCACCTTTCCTCCATGCCTCTGGCGACTGGGTGGGAGCTGGGGCTGGAGCTGGGGCTGGGCTGGGCTTGACACTGCCCTTGGTGAGCAGAGTGTGGATGATGGAGGCTCAAACTTCGGCTTGGAGGGCAATGAGGGCCCTGAGTGGGACTGCCAACTGTGCCCAGGGCCCAGGAAGCTGGACATGCCGAGGCGCTTTCCCCCGGGACTCCTCTGGAAATGTGGCTTTCTTTCCTCTTTCTTCTCCTGGCCAGCCCCCTGAAGCTCCTGGTGTCTCCTCTGGGTGTACCAGTAAATCTCTTTCTATGACGAAGGAAGTGACAATTTTGCCAGCATATCAGTGAGGGCCCTTGGGACAAGAACTGCAGCAGGAGTGTCGGAGAAGGCCCAGTTAGGAGCAGGGGCAGGATGGGACCCAGCCCTGTGGCCTTGAGCAGGCCCTGAGCCCCAAGGGTAGCCTGTTTTGGAGAGCTCTTCCCAGCAAGCCTCTGTCCTGGCCTGGGCTCTGTAAGCCTGGCGCAGGCCCCTTTGTTCCCCTCTTTTCCTGGGGCGAGCTGGGTGGGAGTGTGTGTTCAGGGAGTGCTGGGTGAGAAGTGGCCAAACCCAGTGTTTCAGAAACAGTTCCATCTGATTCTGGAATGTGGGGCTGGGCCCAAGTTCTCCTTTCCCCATGAGAAGGGCCTGGGCTGTACAGCCTGCTCCCCACTCTGTCCAGGGCTTTGCTGGAACCCAAGGGCAGTCACGGGGACAGGCCAACCCCATGCAGGCCAGGCCCCAGGGATCTTGGTGGGAAAGGGCCTCAGAGTAGGCTGGAGCAGGGTCCCTGTGAGTGGCTGCTGCCCACTCTGCTTCTGAGCATGACCTCTTCAGCAGGATACCTTCTTTCACTGCTGGCCTACAGGGAGTAAGGGGCCAGGGCAGGGCCATCACCCCTCACATCTCCAATCAGGCTGCCACTTCCTGGATCCCTGACAGCAGAGAAAGCCACCTGCGTCTGCTCTGGCTTCTTCCATGAGGGTCCCAATCTGGGTCTGCTGACCCCGGGCTCCATAGCTTGCTTCTGGTGCCTTGAATTTTCCCATATGAATTCCTGTCTCCCCATCTTTCATCTGAGTTTTTCTGTCTACTATTTTCTTGGTGACCTTAGTGTCTCTGTAGCTTCCTATGCCTGCGTGTCTTTCTGTCTCTCCCTATTCCTGCTTTCTGCTTCTGTTATTGCTCTGTCTAATTTTGTAACTGTCTCTTTCTTACTCTTTTCCTCCACCTCCCTCTTCCCTCTTCCTTTTGGTTTCTTGTCACCTGGAGGAGCATTGGACAGCTGAGGATAGGCAGAGGTCTATAGGGCAGAGGCCAGACAAATCCCTTTACTCCTGCCATGTGGAGTGAAAAGCAGGCTCATGACTCTTGCAGTGCTGGGAGAAGGTTCTAGTACCACAGGCATGCTCACAGCCCTCACTCCTGGTTTGCAGGCACACTCCAGCCCCCTCAGTCCTCTTTGTTGCTGGAAGCTGATTTAGGGGTGGGTGTTGGGAGCACTGGAGAGATGGAAATAGCCACTGTGGTCTGCAAGAATGGGTTCTTCCAACTGTAAGCTCAATTGTCCCTGTGTACTAGTTGTGCTGACCTGGCCCTCGTCTGGCCCCTGTTCTCAGATAAAGCAGCTACAGAAAGAGACCTTTCTGCTCTGGGTGCTGTACCCTGCAGTCTCCAGAAAAAATGCTCAGGGCATTGAGAACCAGACCCCGTGGGCCATGCGGGGCCAAGGGCATACGCACATGTTCTGCCTATCTGCATTAGCGGCTTCTCCCTTCTAGAGGATCCAAAGGGAAAGACATCAACACCATCAAGTCCCTGAGAGTTCTTCGCGTTCTGCGGCCCCTCAAGACCATCAAACGACTGCCTAAGCTCAAGGTTGGAGCCTGGAGTTGGGGCTTGAGGGGCATGCTGTGCGTCTGCATGTGCATGCATGTGTGTGCAGGTGGTACGAGAGTGTGTGTGAACAGGTACCTGCATGAGGATGGACTTGTTCAGCTCTAAGCACCTGCCTAAGGAGAGCTCATTCCCAACAGACTTCTGTAGACCCCTCTTTCTTATCCCAGCAGTGCCAGATGAGAGATGGTATTTTCCTCAGCCATGCAGGACAGGAAGGAAGGGGCTGCTGAAGGGGATGTGTTATGTGAGGGGCGTTGCTGGCACTCAGAGGCTCCAGAAAGTGACTGTGGGACTGGGTCCTGCAGGGTGGACACAACTGAAGTTCTGCATAAAGGAAGAGAATCGACCCAGTCTAGTCATTACAGGGCCCGCACCAGGCACAGAGGAGCACTCCTGACTTTGTACAGGGCATTCTCGTGAGGCCACGTGGAACTGCAGACAGCATTTGCTTGGAATCTGATGTGGCCTAGGAGGGTACCCAGAGGCCCTCAATCCTTTCAGGAGTTACACCTGGTGCTGCACAGGAGGGGTGCTGCACACAGCACAGTGGCTTCATGGGTCCAGACCTCTGTGGACATTTGTAGCAGGACATCCTGAGAGGTGCTGCCTCAGCTCTGAGAGCAGCATTGGGTGTGCAGGGTCCCGAACCTGAGAGCAAGCCTGGTGGGTGGTGGTCAGTCACGGACCAGAGAGTCCCCTCAGGGCCCCAGAATGTGCCCAGAGTCCCTGTCCTGTAGTCCTTGGAGCCACAGCATTCTGCTGCTTCATCCTCAGTCTGCCCCACATCACTGTTGTTCATGAGTAGGAGCAAGACCAGGGGAAGGGCAGGAGGCTTCCACATCCCCTCTGAGTAGGCCCTGCCCCTCTGGGGCCCAACTCCCAACTGTAAAGCAAGTTCTTCTGGGCATTCATCTGCCCCTTCTAGCACCTCCTGCCACTCTCATAAGTTCTGTATGGCTCCCCTCATGAGAGAGAGACAGCACAAGTCAACTTCCTGTCAAGTCGCCTGGTGGTGGCCTTAACATGGCCAGGAGCCTGAGGGCCTTGCAGGGTCCTGGAATGCCCATGGTGTCTGGGTCTCAGTGGTCCTGAGGTTCTGAGCCTGTAGCCTGCCCTGCTCTGCCCTCTCTTCTGGTCCCCTTTCCTGCCCCTGTGTCTCCCCTTGACTCCACATCTCCCTGCCTCCCTTGTGGACCCACCCTGCCTAGTGACCCTGCCCTTCCCATGGCTCCACCTCCACCATAGCCCTGCCCTCCCTCAGGGCTCCTCCTCTCCCTGCCTCCCTTCTGGCCCTGCCCTGTCTCATGGCTCCTCCTTCCCTTGTGGTCCCACCCCTTCATCCCAGCTCTACCTTCTCACATGGTGGGGCCTTTCCTCTGGCCCCCACCCGTCCCTCACGGCTGTGTCCCTCCTCCCTGCAGGCTGTGTTTGACTGTGTGGTGAACTCCCTGAAGAATGTGCTGAACATCCTGATTGTCTACATGCTCTTCATGTTCATATTTGCCGTCATTGCAGTACAGCTCTTCAAAGGGAAGTTTTTCTACTGCACTGATGAATCCAAGGAGCTGGAGAGGGACTGCAGGTAACCTGAGGCAGGGTGCAAAGCCCTCAGCCCCAGATTGCAGAGAACCCCTGGTGTTCCCTCAGGATCGTGTGGGGCTGGTCACATGGCTCAGGAGACTTATTTACAAAGTGGGGACACTGGGCAAGGGCTGGAGGGCTTGCCTGGGATGTGCTGATGCCATGCACAAGAGGGGGTAGTGTGCCCCATCCCCTCCTCTGAGGGGTCAGGGACCAGCTGTGCTCAGAGTACTTCTTCCTGCCAGCAGCTATCCAAGGAGCCACTATCCTGCACACACCTTGGCCATCAAGGTATGTCAGGGCCCTCTAAATCTTGCTGGAGGTCTAGGTTGGACCATGAAAATCAGAGGGCTTGGCCATGGCTGGTGTTGCTCTCACTTTCCACGGGGTTTCTCAGATCTTCCTGGGCCTGGCCTTACTTTCAAGACAGACAGGAGAGGTGCCCTCAGGGAGGAGCCAGGGAGTGGAAGGGTGACTATGTGCACCTAAACAAGACTGAGCTGGCAGCTCCTTCCCACCTGTGCAGCAGAGGTCCCAGTTGTCTCTGGCTGTGTGAATGTCACACTGCTCACTCATCCACTCTGTGGTGAAGGCTCTTGACAGATCTCCGGGGGGCTGCCACGAGCAGTGCTGCCGTGAGCATCCATGCGCACGTCTCATCTGGGTGCTGTCTATCTAGAAGGGGTCACAGGCTATGCACATGTCACTGATGCTGCCACATGCTTGTGCAGTGACACCTCTTCAGTGTGAACGGGAGCTTGCGGTACCCCACATCTTCCAGTGTGCCCTGTGTCCCTGTCTAGCTCTCCAGCCTTCCTGGGCTCTGTGGTTTGATTTGCATATGTGCTACCAGCAAGGTTGAACCCCCTCCCCTGGGTAGTTTGGCTGCATAGCCGCCCTTCCTGGGCAGTGTCCATCCCAGTTGTTGTGTGTTCGTGTGTGGTTGTCTCTCTCTGTGGGTGGATTTGCAGGAGTGCTCTTATTTTCCTGGGTAGGCCTTTACTGATATCCCTCCTTTGAAGAGTGCTTTCTGCTCTTTCAGTGGTGTTTTTTAAAGAACAAGTTTTTGATTTTAACATAGTGCAACTTAACTTTTTTATTTTCTCATGTTTACTCCTCCATGTCCTGCAGTCAGGGGTGTTTTTTTCTGACAGTGTTGCTTTTGCCTCTCATGTTGAGATCTGCAGCCTACTGGAGTTGAGTGTGTGTGAGGCAGGGCAAAAGATGGACTTCCTGAAGGTGAGTGTCCAGTTTCCCAACACCACTGATTGGGCAAGATCATCCTTTACCTACTGCAATGGGATTCTTTGTTTTTATAGTTCACATGCCATGAAGCTTATTCACATAATCCTATTTAGTGTGTACAACTCAGTGACTCTTGTTATATTCACAGACACATTTTTATCACCTTAAAAAAAACCCCAAACCCCAAACCAAACAAAATAAAATCCAACCCAACCTGTACCTTTTAGCTGTCCTCTCTGTCCCTGTCCCTAGCCCTATGTAGCTCTGAGCTGGTGTTCCATGTCTGGATTGCCCTGCTGTGGACATTCCACGTGTGGAGGCAGACACTATGCAGCCCTCCGGAACTGGCCTCAGCACAGTGAATGGGGCCTTGGTGTCCCTCTGTGCTGTGGTGGTCAGTGCCTTCTCTGTTCCCTGCTGTGCCATGGGGTATCTGTTCATGGGCCTGCTGATGGTAGGCCAGGAGTGGGCCTGATGGTGTCTGGGAGCTGTGTTGAGCTGCCTGAGGAAATGCCAGGCTGTTTCTAGGGTGGCTGAGTCATTTTCCATTCCCATCTGAACTGCTGCCAGGGTTTCGCTTTCTCCAGGTCCTCATCAACCCTTCTTATTTTCCTTCCTTTGTCTTCTGTTTTCATCATGTTCCTGTTCACGAAGTGGACTGATGTCTCAGGAGAGTTTTGGTGTTCTTTCCCTCAATGGCTGCTGCTGTTGAGCATCTGTTCAAGTGCCTGTCGGCCCTTTATATGTCTTCTTAGGAGAAATGACTGTTTGGATACTTGACCCATTTTAAAAATTGGGTTGTCTTCTTATTGTTTGTAGTAGTACTTTATATTTTCTGGGTACCCACCCCTGATCTGTAGATGACTAATAAATACTCTTCCCACTTTCATTGATCATCTTTCCACTTTCTTGATGGTGTCCTTTGAGGTACAGAGTTATAAATTTTGATGAAGTTCAATTTACCGTCTTTTTTTTCTTTTCTTGCTCATGATTTTGGTTCCATATCTAAGGCTCCATTCCTAAATACAAAGTCATAGAGATTTGTCCGTTTTCTTCTGAGTTTTGTGGTCTTAGCACTTACATTTAGGACTTTGATCTTGAGTTACTTTCTATGTGTGGACTGAGGTAGGAGCTTGAGTCTGCTCTTCTCAGCCCTGAGTGGAATGCAGTTCTACAGCACTGACTGTGGAGGAGCCTGCTCCTTCCATGTGGAGTGTACTCAGTACCCTCTCCAAATGCCAGCTGACCATGGACACAGAGGTTTGTTGGGTCCCTTAGGTTTAACTGTGATCTTATGTGTGCTCCTGCCTGCAGGGGTCAGTATTTGGATTATGAAAAGGAGGAAGTGGAAGCTCAACCAAGGCAGTGGAAGAAATACGACTTCCACTATGACAACGTGCTCTGGGCCCTGCTCACACTCTTCACGGTGTCCACCGGAGAAGGCTGGCCCATGTGAGTGCCCGTGCAGCCTCAGGGTGGCAACCTGACCCGTCCTGCGGTGCCCTGAGCTTCCCAGGAAGCTTCCTTGACACTGCCCTCCCCTCAACCAGGGTGCTGAAACACTCCGTGGATGCCACCTATGAAGAGCAGGGTCCAAGCCCTGGGTTTCGCATGGAGCTATCCATCTTCTATGTGGTCTACTTTGTGGTATTCCCCTTCTTTTTTGTCAACATCTTTGTGGCCTTGATCATCATCACCTTCCAGGAGCAGGGGGACAAGGTGATGTCTGAATGCAGCCTGGAGAAGAATGAGGTAGGTGATGCCTCGGGACCTTCTGTGATGGGCAGTGTGGGCAGAACACCAGGCTTTCCTTCCGCACGCACATCACTCATGGACAGTGTGGGCAGGCCTCCTTCTTCCTGTAATGGGAGACCATGTCTGGGCAGTTGGGGCCTACTGGAGGAGGCCCTGGGCTGCCTCTACTGCCTGCCCTTTCAGTGTTATTGTTTGTAGTAGTACTTTGTAGCAGGTGCTGATGGGTTGGGCTCCGCCTGGGCTCAAGCTGCCCTTCTTTCCACACAGAGGGCCTGCATTGACTTTGCCATCAGCGCCAAGCCCCTGACACGGTATATGCCCCAAAACAAGCAGTCGTTCCAGTATAAGACATGGACGTTTGTGGTCTCCCCCCCCTTCGAGTACTTCATCATGGCCATGATAGCCCTCAACACAGTAGTGCTGATGATGAAGGTACGAAGCCCCATGCGGAGGAGGGGTCAGAGCCCAGCTTGAGCCTGGGTGGGAGTGGATCTACTTCCTTTTGGCACATGCCGGAGCTGCAGCTGCCTCTGTCCTGGCCAGTACAGGGTTCCTATGAGATGCTGTTCCTTTTGTGGTCTGGGAGCCAAGACAGTGAGAAGGCTCTGGGAGAACTCAAGAGAAACAAGGAGGGGTGGGCAGGTGTGGAGTTCTGGCTGCCTCCTGTGGCTGCCGAGCCCTCAGCCACTGGCACTCATTCCCGGCAGTTCTACGATGCGCCTTATGAGTATGAGCTGATGCTGAAGTGCCTGAACATGGTATTCACCTCCATGTTCTCCCTGGAGTGTGTGCTGAAGATCATCGCTTTTGGGGTGCTGGTATGTACCAGCCTTCTGGTGGCCTGCATGGTGGCTCCCTCTCTGTTGGGCAGCATTTGGGGCTCACAGTTTGGAGCTGGGAATTCCCCAAGTTTCCAGAACACGTGCGATTATTTGGGGGCCCCAGGGAAGGGGCTGCTCCTACACTCTCAGCTGCCTGAATCTTGTCCTGGTCCTGGGTGCATGCCGGGTTGGGACCCTCCTCTCTCTACATGTGGCTCTCAATTCTGCATCTGCCCGGGCTGGAGGTGTCTACTCGTCATGGGCCTTCTCCTGGGATCTGTCACCCTTGCTTGCTTCTTGATCATGGACAGTGTGCCCAGTGGAGCCCTTGCCAGTCAGTGGCACTAACTGCCCTTCTTTTTCTCTAGAACTATTTCAGAGATGCCTGGAATGTCTTTGACTTTGTCACTGTGTTGGGAAGTATTACTGATATTTTGGTAACAGAGATTGCGGTAAGTGGCATTTCCTGCTTCCCCCAGTGGGGCCCCTCACATGGTTTCCTTCTAAAGAGTTCTCTCCTTCGTGCGTCTCCAGGTCCTGATGTATTTGTTCCCCCCTGAACCCCCCAGGATACCTGGGGCAGGGGAGGCTCCTTTCCAGAGGAGTACCTTGGGGATTGGGTGTTGTGGCCCCAGATGTCTTCTGAGTTGGTGGCCTGAGGATCACCTGGAACTCCATGGTATTACCTGATCAAGAAGACATGAATCTTTAGGTTTATAGGTGTCTACTGCTAGTTGCATCTAGCAGCTTGGTCTCAAAAGTCCATAAGCCGCATCTAGTAAGAATTTATATTTAAGGCCTAGTGATGTGGCTCAAGCGGTAACGCACTTGCCTGGCATGCGCGGGGCGCTGGGTTTGATCCTCAGTACCACATAAAAATAAAAAAATAAAGATGTTGTGTCCACTGAAAACTGAAAAATAAATATTAAAAAATTCTGTCAAAAAAAGAATTCTATTTAAAAATCAGGTTTGTGCCACGTATATGTATATGTGCACATAGTCGCTATCTGGAGATGTCCCTATCAGACACTTACTGATGGTATCTAAAAGCGATCAGTGTTGGGACGTAAATTCACCTCAACAGATTCCAAACTCTTGAATCATGAAGTACCATTTTTTATAGTGTCATGAGTTATTGGAAACAAAATGGCAGAAAACCTCATTGATTAGGCCCCAGGTTGAATTCTCTGGGAGCAAACCCTGAAATGAGGATTCATATAAAAGTTACTTCTTAAAAGAAGAACCAGTGGAGGGGCTGAGAAAATGGCTGGGAAAGAGGAAGAGGACCAGCGTTGCCACATCTGGAGCCAAATCTTCTGGGAGATGATTGGGGTTACCCCTCTTGAGAGGTCCCTGAAGGGAAAAGGAGCTGCATGGGGCTAAGTGTCATCCCCAGGCACCCCCCCACACTCCCCAAGAATACCACATGCACGTGACACAGACTCTGGCAGCACTGATGCCATTGGCAGTCACTGGCCGCATGGTCACAGGATTGTGCTGGAAAGCAGGCTCCTGTGGTCCCCCTCTGCTCTACCCTTGTTCATTGGGTGTATGTGCATTCTTGAGATGGTGCTAGTCACAGCCTGTGGGAGACTGGGTACGGCTCCCTGCTGTGTGGACCTCTGCAGAGGGGATCTCTTCATCTCTGCATCACTACTTCCAGAGCCCCTGACCTATAGCTGGTCTTCTGTTGCTCTGGTGGGTAGCATGATGAGGGGTCCCAGACTCTGAATAGCCAAGACCCTGCTTGCCATCTTTTGTCTGGCTATGGCTGTGTAATGGTCCAGTCACAATTAAGATTGGCCAGAGGAGCATCCAGGAAGGCCCCAGGGAACCTCTGATTCCCAGACAGATCTTCCCTCCCCTACTGTTAGGCAGCGTCTCTGCTCTCATGGTGAGCAGGGATGGATACTTGGGCACTCAGGGCTCTGCACCGCCTGAGGACCCCTGTCCATGTGCTGCGCAGTTGGCACTGACTGTGGCTAGCCCAGTTCTGCTGAGGGGATCTTGGCCATCGTGGCTGCTCCCTTCAGAGATCCACCGTGTGTGCACTGGAACTAGTGAGGGCAGAGACTGGCCAACATCAGCTTGTCCAACACTGGTCTCCAGGGGCCTGTGCTTTGGTGGGCAGCTGTGTGTGGCCTAGTGCCCCTAGCACACCATGCCCCTCTCAGGGCTCATCTGTTTGTCTTCTCCACACTTGACCAGCCTCTCCCTCTGCTGGGACCCTGTAATCCTAAGCAGGATGACCTCTTTGTCCACACTGCCTCACCAGTCTCTCTGAGGCTGTCTCTGGGTGGGGCCCTAGTGAGATAGTGCAGGCCTGTGGACATGGGCAGTGCCAGAACATCCTGGTGCTGTCTCTCTGGGAGCCAGCCAGCTGGTGGTACTTGGGTCTTACACATGGGTCTTTCCCAGCATCTTCCTGTATCTTCTGTACCCCACTCAGGTTTGTCCAAGGACAGGTATCCAGAGTTCTGTTGCTAATCTGGCCAGTGAGCAACTCCCGGGACTCTTCCCGAGAGTCTTCTTCCAGAGAAGGTTCAACCCTGTAATCCAAATGCAACTCATTAGGAATTGTTCCCAGGAGTACCTGGTAAGGAGGGGGAGGAAGGCAGTGTCAAGGAATTCCAAGGCACAGTGCTGGCCTTCCTCCATGGGACCCCCAGGTAATGTGGCCCTCACTTCAGTGTTGTCCCAGCCAGGCAGGAGTATACAGCTGTGTGCCTCCATCTGCTGAGAAGGTTCTGGCAGCTGCAGGAGCCTGGGCATCCAGAGTCAGGCTTTCTGCATGAGAAAGCATGGGGATCCAGTGTGGCATAAGTAGCAGAGATCAGAGGGGTGTGGCTGCAACAATAGTGTGCAAGGACACTTCCCAGCAAGTCATGGATCAAAATGGAGTAATGATGTGAATTCAAAATACATCCAACAGAAAACAGTGAGAATACCATATAGTAAAGCTCATGAAACAGCCTGGCAGCACAGTTGGTCCTCAGCATCTGTGGGTCCTACCTCCAACCAACAGATTCAACCAACCACAGATCAAAGATATTTGAAAAAAAAATTGCATCTGTACTGAACATGGGCCAACTTTCTTCCTGCCATTATTCCCTGAGCAATGCAGTACAGTGACAGTTTACAGAGCATTTTCATTATCTTAGTTGTTCGAAGTCATCTAGAAATGATTTAAAGAATACAGAAGTATGTGCATAGGTTATGTGCAAATACTGTACCATATTATATAAGGGACTTGAGCCTCTGGGATGCTCCTAAGACCAATCTCCATAGTAACTGAGAATGACTGTACTTGGAAAGAACTTCCAACTCCTAAATGCTTATATTCTAAAAATAGTTCAATGTGCAACTCAATGAGTTGGACATTAATATAAGTTAGAAAAAGAAGAGCAGAGGGGCTGAGGTTGTGGCTCAGTGGTAGAGCACTTGCCTAGCACATGTGAGGCACTGGGTTTGATCCTCAGGATCACATAAAAATAAGTACATAAAATAAAGATATTGGTCCATCTACAGCTAAAAAAAGAAAGAAAAACAACAGAATAAGTTTGAATAAAGTACAAGAAAATATAAGAATAGAAATTAAGAAGGGGCCTTGGCTGGGGTAGAGCTTAGTGGTAGAGCACTTGTCTAGCACATGTGATGCCCTGGGTTCAAATCCCTGTACTGAAAAGTGAAAGCAAAATGAACAACAACAACAAAACCCGCACAGAATTAAAGAGAAAAGAAACATACAGAAGAGAATCAGTGAAGTGTGTGTTCTTGGAAGACTTAGAAGTTGACATACTCTGGCTGGTCACCCAAAGAAAAGAAGGTCATTAAGTGGAAGGTGGGTTGAGTGGTGGCTGCAGACGCACGGGAGGGAGACACCCAGATTGCTCCAAACCACTTCTGCTAGTGTGTTTACAGACTTACGTACATGAATAATTACTAGAAAAATACAAGTGATCAAATCTGACAGAGATGAGATAAAACCCTAAGTGGTTCTTTATCGCAGCAAGAAAGCCACTGAGTCCAAAAACAATCTTCCCATAAAGAAAACGCCTTGCTCTGATGGTCTTGTACATGAGGTTTCTATCTAAAATACAAGGAATGATTATTTCCGGTCTTAGACAATTTTTCTAGAGACTAGAAAAAGAATTAACATTTCCTAACTTAATTATATATGCCTAATATTAGCTCAATACCATTATCTAAGAAATAATATCACAATCCACACTTACTTATTAATGAGAGATGCAAAATCCTAATCAGTATGTAAGCAGCCTAAATCTAACAGTGTTCAGAAAAGAAAATATGAGTCAGGCTTATTCCAGGAATTCAAGGTTCAACTTGGAAAAGCTATTACAATAATTCACATTAACGTATCAAAGGAGACTATTAATGTGATTGTCTCATGGATTCAGAAAAGATCTCCAATAAAATTCAAATTTTAGTCATGATAAATGTTATTAGCAATCAGGAATTGGTGACTTCATAAAGGATAGCTACAAAGAATCCTATGCACACATTATGTCATGGTGAAATTTGGAAAGAATTCCTTTCGAAGTCAGGAAACACCGTGCTGTCTGCTGTCCGTCTTCCTCCAGGCTGAGCTTCAGGCCTGACCAGCAGTAGACTGCCTGTTGCCTCATGAAAACATCAGCTCCCGGATGCGCAGCACAGCACCTGCTGCTCTGTAGGTCTCCCGTGGGGGCTTACTGAATGAGTAGGACAAATAAATAAACAAATATGTAAGGGCTAGGAGGGAGTGAGCACAGTTGTCAGCCAGGTCCAGGGGGGTCTAAAACCGACTGGAGTGTGCTGGAGCATTCGACTGGCCAGAGCACGGTTGCAGAGGGTAGATGACTCAGTCAGCATTCCTGACAGAAACCTAATAAAATCTGCACAAAATCTTTATGCAGAAAATTGCTGAACTTTATTGAAAGGCATTAAAGAAGGCTTAAATAGATGGAGTTGAATTAATGGGTGTCAACTTCACAGAATTTTGATTCCCTCAAATTGATTTGTAGATTTCATGCAATCCCAATAAAAATACCAAGGTTTTTGTTTATTTACTTTGGAATTCTACAAGCTGCTTCTAAAATGAGAAAGAGAAACAGTCTCAAACAAGATATTTAAGGACATCAACTGGGTTATTTGGGTGGTGCCAGAGGGAGTCTGCTCCTCCTGCTGAGACTAGCTGTAAAGCTGGGGTGATGAGGACACGCAGTGTTGGCTCAGGGAAGGCTGAGCAAGGGTGGGGTCAGCCTCAGGTCAGAACTCTCCTGTGTACGGGGTGGTGTAGGACAGCACTGACTCTGCTGCGTCCTCCTGAGGGTCACTGGAGGTTAGCATGGGTGAGGTCAGAGATCATTCCAAGTCAGTTTCAGGTGAATGAAGGACTTGTAAGGGGCAAACTTTGAACTCCTAGAACACACAGGAGATGATCCCTAAGACCTGGGCACAAGACACTTTGTTAACAAGATATATAAAGCCTCCAGTCAAAACTGGAAGCTCTTTCAGATCTCTTGTTCATATGTATGGGGTCTGTGCCAGCTGGGTGTGTGAGGGAGGACAGGAGGTGTTGCTGAGCCAACTGAGCAAGGGGAGGTGGCCATGGAGGGCAGAGGAAGGCTGTGCATCAGTGCGCCTTGGCTTCTCTGTTGGGAGAGTTTGGAAGGTCTGAGGAAGAGGGATGGTGCGACCTGGTGGTTAAGACACAGCTTTGCCTGCTCAGTAGGCAGGGAGCAGTGGCAGTGGACCTGTTAGGGCACTCTCTGTTGGGATCTCCCTGAAGCACAGCCTGACATGTGAGTTGGGTGCAAGCCTTTTGTTTGGGAGGTGATCCTGGGAACACTGGTAGGGAATGCTGAAATGGGAAGGGGCACAGTGGCTGCCAACAGAAGGCGAGTTATCCAGAAGTCACTTGGGACAGCTGGAGCTCAGTCACACTGGGGCTCTGATCATGTGGAAAGTGCTGTTCCCTCCATGGAGTGCTGGGGCTCAGTCACAGCTGAAGGCTTACAGGGGAGGGCAGAGAATGTTAGACCCATGACCCCTTTGGCCTGGCCTGGAAAAGCCCTCAGGAGAAAGAGATGCCAATTCGGGGTGTTGGCCAAAGGTGTGAGGCCTGGGGGCCTTGCCACAGAGCATTCCTGCTGGGAGCCAGGCTGTGGGGCAGGGAGCTACTGAACTCTGGCTGCATCTCTAGTACGGCAGCAGCCAGACCTGATGTGGGTATGTAGGACAAGGCAAGAGTGACATTGAACTGTGGCCTGAGTACTTGGAAAAATGGGCTGCTTGAATTGAAATGGGCAAGAGTATGGGCTGAGTGGGTTTGTGATGAAGTTCAGGTGCAACTTGGGCGTGTTAGGTCTGGGGCTTCTGTGAGACTCCCCAGAGGGTTGTACAGAGGGCCCGGAATTTGGGAGTGAGTTCAGACTAGTGGTATGAAGTTTGGATCCTAAGCATATAAAATGGAGTCAGACCCACAAGACAGGAGGAGGTTGGTATATGGGATGAGTAGCTGAGCCCTGGGACACCCCCATCATTTAGAGCCTGGGGCGGTGAGCAGGAGCATATACCAGGGGCAGAGGCTAGTGTCCAGAATATGCACAGCTTTTCTGCAAGTTGATTGGAAAAACAAAAACAACTAAATGAGCAGAAGGTACAATTGGGCATTTTACAGAGTAGAAAACATAAGTAGCCAATTAACATGGGAAAAGATGCTCAACTTGACTAATAATAGGAGAAATATAGACTGAAATGACATGGCAATGCCATTTCACATCTGCTGGTTGTCAGAGTTTGCAAATGATGACAGTGCCTAGTGTTGCCAAGGATGTGAAGTGCCCAGAGCTCTCCAGCCAGCTGGTGAGGTCTCGGTGGGGGCCACCTCTTTGAAAAGTTTGCAGTAGTCATCAAGTTGGTGATGTGCACCTCTGCCTCGGTGTCTTCAGATAGACATCACAACATCTGTTTGTGATAACTGTCACTGAGCCAGCAGCCAAGCACCCAGATGTGTAGAGAGTGTGTCAGTAGCACAAGGCAATGAAGACTGAGGAGACGGTGAGATAACTGCAGGCACCGGACTGATGGCTAGGGTGATACGGATGCTTCTGGGAGGCAGTGTCTGCTCACTGTCAGCCACGTTTGCACAGCTGCCACTGTGGGGCTGAGAACTAGCAGATGTGGGATGCATTTAGGGTCTATGAAAGAACTGCAAGGACAAGTGATTATTGACCAGGATTAAGGCCAGCTGCTTCATCCAGAGGGCAGGAAGGAAGCAGGAGGGCATCACAGTGACAGGAGCCATCTGCTTTTCAGCTGTGTGATAAATATATGGATATTTGGTTTACTGTTCTTTAAAATATTTAGACATATTATTTTGTTTATGATGTATATTTCATGATTTTCATCAGTTAATGATGTGAGTATTCTAAGCAAAGAGGCTGAAATCTTCCATTTAAAAAGAAAACCAAGGGCAGTGGTTGTAGCTCAGTGGTAGAGCGCTAGCCTGGCATGTGTGAGGCACTGGGTTTAATCCTTAAAACCTCATAAAAATAAGTTAATTGATTAAGTAAAGGTAGAAACTTACAATAATATTAAAAATAAATAACATTTAAAAATAAATAAAAAAGTAAACCAAGGTTGCTTTGCTTTACCAGCTCCTGGTGGGGTGGCTTTCCTGGGGGCTGCCCCATCACTGTGTGCATCCCCCCCAGAAGCATCAGATTCAGTGCAGTATCTGAAGACCAGGCTGGCTGAGTTCCTGGGACCTGTGGGGCTTCTTGGAAACAGGAATATTTGTTTCCCCAGCTAAAGTGATCCAACAGCTCCAAGTTGGAAGGGCAACTTCAGGGTTTCTGCACCAGACTCCTGATAGATGAGAAGGCATAAGAGGAGGTGGGCAGGGATGCTGGCTGACATCACAGGTGCACAGAGGCCTCCTGCAGTGTAGGCCACTGAAATGACCCAGCATGCTGTCCCTCAGCTGCTGGATAGGCCAGGGAGGCCTGTAAGCTGTCAAACCTCACTTAAGGCAAGCCCTTGGCAGGCTGGTGGGAGAGGGAGAAGCTGCCCTGTGGGAACACTTATCTACCCTTTGGCTGCCATTGCTGTTGGAGCTTTGGTCATTGGCCTTCTCTGCCTGGAGGAGAACAGATGAAAGAACAGCCATCACATGGATCGGTGGTGTTTTGTTTGTTTATTTGTTTGTTTTTCATTTGGAGCCACTTCATATATTTACTTTGCAAATGCACTTTTTTTTCTTAGGCAAAAATATGAGTGTCAGTTTTGATCCCCAATTTAAAAATCAAAATAAATCCATAGTCTTAGCAAGGATCCCTGGAGAAAGGGCTCCAAACTCACATAAAACTGACATTGATTTCTTTGCCTGGAAAAAAAATGAACTATTGTCTGTGAGTCATCTTTGGATTTGCATTAAAACAAGAATGCAAATAGAGCTGCAGTCTCATAACCTACAGATCTCAAAATATGTTTGAGTTCATGCATTTCAAGAAAAATATGCAGTTTACAAAATCCTGAAGTTTTCTAGTTAAGTATTCAGAGTTTAAGTTTTTGCTTGTGTTTATGACTCATATTCTCTTTTGTTTTCTGTTTTTGTTCTTGATTTACCTTAACCTACCTGCTGACTCACGCCACCCAACCAACATACAATGCGAAAACCCATGTCTCCGTCTGTATGTTGCGCGCCTGCTGCTCAAACCACCCCAATTTGTAAATAATACGCAAATACCCATCCATGAAAACATCACATATAGGAAACGGTTGGTTTGTGACTTTAAACAGTTTTACGAGTCCTCGCTCTGCCTGCTCTTCTTTTCTCTCTGTTTCTGGGGCTCCTACCTGCTGCCCTCTGAGGCGTGAGCTGGATTCTGCTGTATTCTCACCTCTGGCCTCCCATGTACTCTCCCCTACCCCTGGGGTCCAGCAGGGGCTTCAGAGGGCCTCCAGGAGCTGTTGGAATCTGGGCCCTTGCCAAGGAGGGAAAGTGGAACTTTCTGGGATGGGGGGTAAATGACCAGGGCAGAAGTTCCTGCTGAGACTGGCATGACTCAGGAGGCTTTGCCTGACTAGGTTGGCCCTGGTCCCTGGGAGTCTGTGGTTTCTGTTGCACTCTCACCTCCTCTCTTCGGTGTCCCTATCATGCCAATGCACAGCATAGGTTTGGTTTGCCCAGGTGGCCTTGGTGAAGTCCCCTGTTGCATCTGTCCTTCCTAGATAAGCCCTTCCGTAGGGAGTTGGGCCAGGGGCACTGGGCTCATGGGAAGTTTGGAGATTTGGACTCTGAATCAGAGAGGGTCATGTGGGGGCCTGAGTAGGAGGGTCTCTGTCCCAGCAGACAGAGGGGCTCAGGGATCCCTACTCTAGATTGTCACTGGAGTGTGTGCACACTGTTGGCCAAGCTCTTGCAGTATACAGGTGCAACTGAGGCCTCCCTCTAGGTCTTCAGAAGTTTTTTTTTTTAATATTTTTTGTTGTAGGTGGACATGACATCTTCATTTTATTTATTTTTTTTATGTGACGCAGAGGATCAAACCCAGTGCCTCACACATGCTAGGCAAGCACTCTACCACTGAGCTACAGCCCCAGCTCTCTTCAGTGGTTTTGAGAGAATAAGGGTGTTTGGTAGCAATTAGCTTTAGCTGTGGCTATGAAAATTCATCCAAAGGAGCAGATCTTTGAGGTTTCTGTGCAGAAACTGAATGTTGCACAGGGTTTTACATCTAAAGTGGAAAGCTTGCATTTTGAGAAAATGGCATTGAATGCTGCGGAAATGCCACATCCTCTGCACAGCCTCCAGCTGAGGCCAGGCAGTGGCCACCTGTCTCTCTCCTCCTTGTCCTGGCCTTCATGACTGGTGGACATGGGGAGTGTGTGTATGTGCACATTTCCTCTCCTTTGCACAATCAGCCCACATTAGTGGAACTAAGAGAGCAGTCTGGTTATGATAGCAGGACCTCATCCTGTGGTGTGGTGTGTGGTCATCAGGTATCCATGGGTCTGACTGAATTCCCTGGAGGCCTTCAGGAGTAAGGCCTCCCTCTCTTGTGACTGGCTAGAAGCATGGTGGCCTTGGATGTAGATGCTAGTCGTGGCTGGGTCAGCCAGGTTGGCTTTGTGGGACAGTGTCCTTACAAAGCTCACTATACTTCCGAATTTCTTTCCTCAGTTGTCCCTTGCCACCTGGGCATTGATGTCCCTAGTGTTGCCAGGTTGTGGGCAAGGAGACTGAGATGGAAGGGCGAGACCAGTGTTCCCTCGTCTTACTGTGGGTGCACAGGCTGAGTGATGTTGCAAAAAGGGTAGCTTCCAAGTGGGCGTAGCATTTCTTGTGCAGCAGAAACCATGGGTCTTGGGAGGAAGGGCAGGCCATGTCTAACTTCAGGGCGGCTGAGGCCAGAGGTGGCAGTGCACGGCACACAGCCCTGTCTTGCTGTCCCGCTGTCCTGCATGCAGTTAGCATGGCGGTACCCAGCCCATCACTCTGCTTGGGCATCTGTGACTGTTATCATCTGCCTTCACAACTCTCCAGGGCTGCCTGTCTGTCTGCACTCACCCTCCCCCAGTACTTGCAGGAGCCCAGAGAGAAGTCTAGGAGCAGGGATGGAGAACTGGTCTCCACTACAGCAGCTGAGTGGGGCTGAGTGTCACCAGCCCTTTGTCTGCCCTCTCATATTCTGCCCCTTCTTTGTTACCAGGAGTCTGTATTTCTCCCACATTTTCAGGAATTCTCCTGAGTGCCACTGCCCAGCCACAGATTGCTTTGAGCTGGACAGGCCTTGCATTGTTAAGATCCTTGCTTCTCCAGACCTATTTGAGTAGGGGGTTTCAAAAGGATCCCCTACTAGTGACTGTCTATGTCCTTGGGGTCTGAAGTGGTCAGTGGGCAGTTATTTCCATTGTGTGTACCACTGAGATTCTCTCTCCTCAGCCTGAATTGATGGGGAGCTGCAGGCTTAGCTGTGCACCTTGCAGGGCATGCCTCAAGTCCCACTCCCACCCTCTTGCTGATGTGGACAAGGTCCACATCACCCTTATGCCCACTGATCCTACCTTTAGGACTCAGCATTCTGCCTGAGAGCCAGAACCTCCCGTGACTGTCTGTTTCCAGCCTGCAGAGAAACTCAGAGATCCTGCCACGCTGGTGGGAGCCACAGGCAAGGCAGAAGTGTCCCTTGAGAGTGGGTCCCTGGAAGTAAGTGTGAGCCCATCCCTCCACCTCCCTTGTTGTGATAGGCAGCCCTTGAGTGCTGCCAGGCTTTCCCTGTTTCTGCGTTTGCATGTGCTCTCCTGCTGCTGCTGTCTCATTCAACATCTGTGTTCTCTTTTCTCTTTATTTGATGACTGAATCTTGACAACACAAATGTGTCTGAGCCTGAGCTGCTTGTATATTTAAAAATACCAAAGTGTCAGGAAGCTGCTCTCAGGCTGTGTGCAGGTACCTGGTCCCCAAGTAGACAGACATACAGTGCCTGGCTCTACAGGAACCCCCACCTATGCACGGAACCTTCCCAGAGCCACCCTCTTCTGAAAAGGCTTGCCAATAGTCCAGGGTGTCTGGGGCCGGGGATTCCTCACTCCCAGGTAAACTTTGGAGTCTGGGGTTGATTGGTTTGTCTCTGTGGTTAGCTTTGAGCCCTTGGGTGAGGGCGCATACCAAGTGTCCTGGTTCTCGGCAGCAGAGACCTGGGGTGAGAGCAGCAGAGTGACTGCATCTGTCCCTTTCGTAAGTGTCAGCAGCTCCTGGAGCAGTCCCCGCAGAGCCCGGTGGGTCCCAGTAGAAATGGCTGGGCTGGTAGGGAGGAGCGCGGCCACCAAGCCCAGGCGGGGGGTCCCTTCAGGGGTGCCCACTGGAGAACCATCATGCCCAGCACCTGGACAGCTTGGCTGGCTGTTCCCATGAGAGGTGGTCACTGTTGGAGTCCCACAGGTGATCCTACCCCACCTGGCAGCAAGGAGCCACTTTGGAGAGCTCCTTCTCTGTGTCTCCCTGTCCGGGTGGCCCTAGAATAGGGGATGTCTCTGATTTGCTGCATGAAGCGTGACTTGCAACAATAAGCTTTCCTTTTGGAAGGTTTTCTGGTGGCCATTACTGCTTAGACTGAGTAGTGACTTTATTTCAATTTCTTTTTAACCACTTTGGGGCCACAGGGACTTGTGGAGAGGTTGTGGGGTATAGGTTGCCCTTTTGGGGGGCGATTTCCAAAGATGAGAGGGCATCCCTCTTCTCTACAGAACAACTTCATCAACCTCAGCTTCCTTCGCCTCTTCAGAGCTGCGCGGCTCGTCAAGCTGCTGCGCCAGGGCTACACCATCCGCATCCTGCTGTGGACCTTCGTCCAGTCCTTCAAGGTGAAGCAGGCGCCAGAGGCAGGGCAGGGCAGGGCAGGACAGGGCAGCTCCCTCCAGGGCTGTCATCCTCCTCCTCTGTCATGATTCCCTGACCCCCAGAGTTCCTCCCTTCTTTAGAAGGGTGTGTGCACCATTGTCCTTTTGCAGTTTATAATACAGTTTGAGTGACCACAGGTTATCTCCTCAATGCCCACAAAACCATTGAGATCGGTTTTATGACCCCAGTTTATAGATGAAGAAACAGGGCCTGTCACTTGGAGGGTGGGCCTGGAGCTGGGCTAGGCTGAGGTCTGTGTGGCCGTGGAGAGGTAGAGGACCTGACCTGCCCATGTGTCTGCAGGCGCTGCCCTATGTGTGCCTCCTCATTGCCATGCTGTTCTTCATCTACGCCATCATCGGCATGCAGGTGGGTGCTGCTTGCCCTGACAGGGCTGGATGCAGAGCTCTCGTCCACTCGGGCCACTGGGAATGTGTTGTGGTCCTTAAATGGTAACAGTAATAAACTGACACATAGTGAGCCTCTGCTGTGAGTCAGACACTGGTGTGAGGAGTGAGACAGCTGTTTTCAGACACTGTTGCTTGGAGGGTATCCAGGCACTCCCAGGAGGGGCAGTTTAGCCGTCCATCCACTCCTTTCTCTCTGGGAAAGTGCACTGCCATGTTTCTGAGGTCTGGGTGGCCTTCAGGTACAACTGGGGCATTGGAGACATCTGTACGGTGTGGAGTGGCTGCTGGCCAGTCTGAAGGTGCCCCTTCCACTCCTTAGTGGAGATCACCTGCTCCTGAGGAGCCTCAGATCAGGTCCTCAATGAGCTCAGTCTGTGTGGTTTAAGTTGTTTGATTTCCCAAGAATACTTTGTCAGTTATTTGGGGAAAAAATACTTAAATATGTAAAGCAGTGTCCTGCTATAGCCCATGGTCATCTGGCCCCTCCCAGCAGTGGGGAGGAGAATGGACTGAGTGTATAGTTAGTATGGGAGGTGCCAATATCCAAGTCTTTAATTCACAGGCTGAAATGTTCTCTTGATTTAGAGTTTGCTGAGATTTGATGTTTTTTAAAGCAAACACACCTACACACACACACACACACACACACACACACACACACACACACTTGCTTTAGTTTTTGGATGTATAAGAACATTCATGTTACTGATCTTTGTGGAAATGTAATACTTTATTAATTTTCAGCCAAATTTTAAGCTGAAGATGGTTCTTGATTCATTTGCATTCTTACCCTGAAAAAAATCAATTATAATAGATAAAAATCCCATTGCACCATTTGCACAAATGTTTTAAAAGAATTTTTCCAGTGATATAGCTGGGTGTACACATACCTATGATTCCACTACTCAGGAGGCTAAAGCAGGAGGATCACAAGTTTGAGACAACTTAGTGAGACCCTGTCTCAAAATAAAAATTAAAAAGGGCTAAGGGAGTAGGTCAGTGGTAGAGCATTCCTGGTTCAATCCCCAGTACTGAAAAAAGAAAAAAAAAAAAGAATATTTCCAGTGATTTCTCAGAGCTTTTGCCAGTATGATAGTATAATTCCTGCTTTGGAACTGTTAATAAGTGAGCTTCCCGTCTTGTGCAGAGCAGATCTGGGCCCCATTCCCATTCATCAGACTTGCATCTAGAAACAGGCTCAGAGCTCCTGGAGCCTGGCTCATGCTGAGCCATGGAACTAGGGTGTGATCAACTGTCTCATATGGGGCCCCCCAGATTGCACGCATTCCCTCTCTTGCCTGGTCTACCCACTGTGGCTCTGGGAATCCTGCAGCATCAACACGCTGCTATTCTCCATTTTAGGTGTTTGGAAACATTGCCTTGGACGACGACACCAGCATCAACCGGCACAATAACTTCCGCACATTCTTACAAGCCCTGATGCTGTTGTTCAGGTATGTTGGGTGGTCACATTGATGTCCACTCTGCTCAGGATGGAGGAGGGTGGGTCTCACCATGGGGACCACTCTCTTCTAACCCTCAAATCATGCTGCTTTTCCTTAGAGGACTTTTCCAGTTCTTCCCTCTCTGCTCATCCAGAGGCTCTTGAAGTCTGCCCTGGCCTCAGGACAGACTGGTAAGAGGCCCCTAAGGGAGGAACCTGGGAGCTCTGAGCCAGGCCTGCCTGTCTTGTCCTTGCTGTGTGGTTGGCAGCCAGAAGGCTCCCAGGAGGCTGCACCCTATTAGGACAGGGAACGCCTGCAGGGTTGTGCAGTGAGCTGGCCCCAGCTTCCATAGCTAGAAGCAGTATTGGTGATGGGATGGGTGAGAAAGGGAGAGGCAGGTGCAGAGGGGAAGACTGCTGCTGCTCATGGCCCAAGGAGCTCTGCTGGCCAGAACTTCTGGTCTTGACACACCTCCCTTACGCCAAAGAGTAAGCAAGAGTAAAAAGGTGGAATGTGGGAGCATGGAGGTGGAACCTGGAAACCCTGGGAAAAGCTTTGGGCCTGCACAGGCCTCTTTGGCAGGGGTGTGTTTAGAAGCAGCTCAAGCCCAGATGCTGTCCTGGGCTGTGGAGCACTCTCTATGACTGGGCCCTGGCTGTCCTGGTCTGGGTGTAGACTTGAGGGCTGGGGGAAGGGTGAATTTTTATCACTGCCTCCTGCGTCTCCCTCGTTTTTTCCAGGACAGGAAAGGAACTCTTTAGGGACTTATGGGGTGCGTGCTGACATCAGACCTTCCAGAGAGCTTCTTCATGCAGAGGCAGGGCTGCTTCAGGGCCCCTGTTTGCTGCACTTCTTGGGGAACATTCTGGCTCTTGTTTCTTGCATAAGATAGACAGGCATCCTCAGGCTCATTCTTTCTCAGATCATATTGATTCTCCGAACTTCAGCAGTTACATTAAATTTATTTCTTCATTTATTATTGCTCTTCCCCATGCCACAAAGATTTGAGGCCACCCTCTGAGTCTGCCTTAGGCCTGTGTTTTCCAAGATTTCTGTTTCCCTGAACTTTGCATCACAAGGGGGTGCTTCCATCACTTGGATTGGCATAGGCCCGTTGACTAGGAAAACCCCACTGCTGGCATCATTGGTGGGCACTGGTGCTGGCTGTGTGTTCTGCAGAGTCCCAAGTGGCTGCTCAGGGCAGGGTGTCCTCCAGGGATTCTGGGCACAGAGAGTGGTGTGCAAGTGAGGGCTGAGGGTGGCAGAAGATCAGGTTTCAGGTCCCTGGGGCTGAGCTCAGCTATGTGGGTTTGGTCTTCATGAGGAGTGAGGGAGCATGGGAAGGTCTGAAAGAAGTGACAACTTCAGGCCTGCACCTTGTGGCCCCGCATGGCACCTGGAAGGGTGCTGCTGTGAGGCACCAGGTGAAAACAAGAGCTGCTCTTTCTGAAGGAGCCTGAGCTGATGGATAGGATATGAAGGGAGGAGGCAGGGATGATGCAGTTGCTTTGGCCTGAGTGGCTGGAAAGGTAGCCATTCTAGAAGCTGCTGCTTCTAGAAACAAGGGTAAGAATAGCCTGTGTTTGGGATGAGACTATGTTGTGTCCTCCAAGGAGTTCCCATAGTGCACTGGATTACTCTCCTCGATTGATGACCAGTTCGGAAACATAATGGCAAAGGCTTCATGTACAGGGGCCCAGCGAGGGCTCCCCTTGGCCCAGCTCTCCTGAGGACTAGGCCCCCACCTTCTGGGCTGGCCAGGGCTCTGATGTCACTGGAGGTTTGCCCTCCAGGCCTCCTATTATGGACTCACAGCTCTGTTCTTTTCAGGAGTGCCACGGGGGAGGCCTGGCATGAAATCATGCTGTCTTGTCTGAGCAACCGGGCCTGTGACCCAGATGCCAATGCCAGTGAGTGTGGGAGTGACTTTGCCTACTTCTACTTCGTGTCCTTCATCTTCCTTTGCTCCTTCCTGGTGAGTCCTGATCACTGTGCCCATGTCTGTCTGCTCAGGCTAGCTCAGGGCCCTGCATCTCCTGTTGATCACTGAACTTTGACCCATGCCACATTGTAAGCTGATGCGGTGGTGAGGCCTTTGCTCCTTGAGAGCAAAGGCCTCTTCAGCCTAGGAGGGACCCACTTGAAGACAAGCTCTAGTGGCCCTGCCTGACTTCCATGAAAGGGTTGCATTTCAGGGGGCAGCTGCCCCTCAGTGTCCAGGTCTTGGAAGGTTCACTGTAGTGGTGGGAGGTGAAGAAGCAGCCCCTCAGCCAGCATGCCTGGTGCAGTGAGCCAGGTGGGAGAAATGGCAGGCTGGTCTAAGGAGGGTGGATCTTACTCTAGGCTTGCGGAAGCCTTGAAGCAAGAGTGCAACAAGGTCTACTTCCTGTTCTGCAGCTTGGCTTCTGTGTGGATGTGAGGAGGGGGCTCTAGTGTGAACATGGAGGTGAGTGGGCTGAAGTGACCTAGAGAAGGGCATGAGGGAGTAGCTCAAAATGGGTGGTGCTACATTTTAAGGCAGAGTTGGCCAGATCGAAAAAGAGATTAGAAAGCTACACCCTGGGATTCCCTGGTGATGGGTGAGGGGATGCCCCTCTGAGATAAAGTGTGGAGAGCTGCAGGTATGACCTCTGGGCTGGAGAATGGAAGGAGTTACCATCAGTTTTCGAGGTATCTGTGTGAGTGGAGGATGCTCTCTGGGTCCCACTTTAGTGCAGCCCAGCAATCTATGTGTGGCTTAAGCATCACTTGAATGCTGTTTTAAAGAGCAGATTCCCAGGGGCCCCAGACTTACTGTATCAGGATCTCTGGAAGAGGGATCCAGGAATCTTGAGTTTAAACAAACTCTTGGTGCTGAATTTTGAGCAGTCAGGAGTGCTAGGTGGCGCAGTCTGGCTGGGCACAATTCACAAGCCACTTGTCAAGCAGAAACGAACTTTACTTTTAGAACACACACGCTGCACCACATGAGCTCTTCAGGAATTCCCTCAGAGCCCAACTACCACCACCGGCTTCCGGTGAGCCTCTCAACCCCCTACTCCTCCTGCTCTTGAGGCTGATTGGCTGGGTCACATGGGCGGAGCCAAATGAGTCCCCTAATGAGCAGCTCCGTGGTCTGAAAGGGTGGGGAAACAGCCCAATGAGCATCACCGCAGAGGAGCCAATCAGCTGGAAGTTTGCTGGGTGGGGCCACTTGGGCTGTGGCTCTCAACAGCTAGATCCAGGGGCTGAGGAACTGTCAGTGAGGCAGGTGGAGAGCCAGGAGAGAGCAGCACCCCAGAGGCCCAAGGAAGAAAGTGTCTCTTGAGGGAGAATAGCCCACCCCACAAAGTGCTGTTGGAAAGTAAAGTGAGAGAAGGACTAAGAAAGAATGGCAGAGGCCACTGGTGACTCTTGCGAGGACAGTTTGTATAGGCATGGAGGGGAACAAAACCCTTTTGGTGGATTTGCGTAAAAATGGAGGTGAGGGGCATAGAAGGAACAGCAGCTCTTCCCAGCAGCAGATGGTGCCAGGAAGCGTCAGATCTGCGGCCATAGCCTGAGAGCAGGGCTAATGTGACCTGTGCTTTTCTCAACCATGTCCACTCCTTAGAGCCTTAAGTAGAGAATTGAATTTTCCAGATTCAGGCTTTCCAAGAGAAGTATAAGGAGGATACAAGGGTACATATGAGTCACAGACCTGAATGTGGTCAAAGCTGGGAACAGGAAGGTGAGGGCAGGAACCTAGATTAGAGGTTTTCATGTGGACAAAGCAGCCTTGGGAATGCAGATGTCAGAGCAAGTGAGCTGGAATGACATGGGACATGTGAAGCCAAGACAGCAGGGTGGGGGCAGTGATGGTGCCCTTGCTGATAGTCCTTGGTAATGACCAAGCTGGGTATCCACATATAAAATTATGAAGTAGGACCCCTACTTCACTCCATATACAAAGTTAACTCAGTTGATGAAAGAAGTAAATAGAAGAGCTGAAACAATGGCAGTACTTAATAGGAGATCAGTCTTAAAGACTTCAGAATTGACAATGGATTCTTAGATTTGACATCAAAATCATGAGAAAAAAGAAAACAGATTATTTATTTATGCTTATTGGAAGAAAATATTTGCAAATCACACTTCTGATAAGGGGTCAATATTCAGCACATATAAAGAACTCTCATAGCTCAACAACAAAAAGACAAAACAGAAAATTTAAAAATGGGCAAAGAAGATATACAAATGACCAGAAGTCACATGAAGAGAAGGTCAACATTTTTGATTATAAAGGAAACAAATCAGAACCCAAATGAGATACTACTTCACACCCACTATGATAGCTATAATAATATTTAAAAAAAAAAACAACAGAAGAATAACAAGTGTCAGCAGGATATAGCAACTGTGGAAAAGTCTGGCAATTCACCAAAAAATGAAGCTTAAAATTGCCATGTGACCCAGTGATTCCACTCCTAGGCATATAACCAAGATAAATGAAAAGGTATGCCCACACAGGGGGCTGGGGTTGTGGCTCAGCGGTAGAGCGCTTGCTCACCTAGCACTTGCGAGGCCCTGGGTTCAATCCTCAGCACCACATAAAAATAAATAAATAAAATAAAGGTATTGTGTCCAACTACAACCAAAAAAATAAATATTAAAAAAAGGTATGCCCACACAGAAACTTATATATGAGTGTTTACAGCAAGATTGATCATGTTAGCCACAAATGTCCGTCAGTGGATGGAGGAATGTGGTATATGCCTATAATGGACTGTTCTTTGGCTATAAAATTAAATGATGTACTGATACATGCTACTATATGAATGAACATCAAAAATATCACATTGATAAAAAGAAGACAGATGTTGTTGGGGTTTTTAGCCCCCCATTCCCTCCTGACCTGTGGGAGAGATTGGGGGAGCACGCCCCTACCAGGACGGGCCAAGAAAGGTAAAGGTCGACTGGCCACCCACACCCAGCCCTCGTCTCCAGAGGACAATGACCGGCGCCAGGGAGAACAGTCAAAGCAGGATCTCATCTATTGAGAGAACACACACAGCTAATATAATGTACAGGAGCCATTCGGGGTAAAGGTCAGCAGGGTGGGGAGGATTTACATCTACACCCATCCTACAGGCAGTAAAGTCCGTGAGGGCACAGGGGTTCTGAGCCTATCCTAGAGGTGGTCCAATTCTTCATCACAACCCACGGCAATGCCTTCTGGCTAATCGCTAGGTGCTCTCTTAGCAGGTGGCCCCAGGACTGGGAAGCGGGTAGCAGCCAGCAAGTTAAGTTTCCTCTTTTCTGATGCAACATGCCCCACGTTACATCATGCCCTACACATGTAAAAGCTCACATGTTCAGTTTCTCCATGGCTTGGAATTCTAGTAACAGTGAAGTGGGTGGCAGTGGCAACTCACTGAACTTCAGTGTTGGAAAGTCAGAGACTCCTAGAGACCCAGAAATGGGTACTTTGGACAGAGTAAAGGAAAGAATACCTTGGATCCAGGTCTGTGACAGCTCTGGTTCACTACAGAGGGGAGGGAGAACACAGAGAAACACAATGGAAAAATTTCTCATGGAAAATCTGTAAATCAGAAAAGCAGTCTGAACTTAGCTGAACCAGAGCCTGCTCAGGGAGTGGGTATTTGAAAACTCCTCTGTGTTTCTTGACTGGTATACAGAGAGCTGAGGTGGAGCCATCTTGAGGAGGTCACACTGGAACTTATTGGGGCAACCTGGGAGATCATAGCAAATATTGCCTTGCTGTCTTGGTGAGCACCTACCACGTAGTTTAGGGCAGCTCTAGCAGAATGTGATTGAAACAGGTACAGAGGAGATTGTGCCCAAGTGGGATACGGATGGGAGTGTAACTTGCTTTCTTTTTGAGCTGGTGGCTCAGGTGACCAGCTTAAGAAGGTTAGAGAAGTGAACAGGTGAGTGCCATTCACTCAGAGACTGAGCCTGAGAAGGCAGCATTCGGGAGTGGTGGGGTGTGCAAGGCCTGTGGATCAGTGGCTACTCTGCCCATGAGTAGAATTCTCAGGAAGCCCCCGAGTTTCAGATGCTGAGCAGAGACTGGCACCTGCCTGTTCCTAGGAATGTGCAGATCTAATCTCTCCAATGCAGACACCACTCAACAAAGTCCCAGACATCTGATCAGAGCTAATCTCCCCGCACCAGAACTCCCCACGTAGAACTCTGTTGCAGCCCACCCCCAGGAGTGCGTCCGTCTGTCTTCCACACAAAACTCCAATGATAGTACTTTGCACTCTGTCCTACCTTGTACTGGTGAGAAGGGAAGCTGAGAACTTTTCAGCATGCTTCAGGCTTAGGCCGCTCCAGCTGGCAGCTCTGTGAGCAACACCAAAGGAGGAAGGGGCCAACAACCCAGCCCTTGCATGCGCTACCCTTCCCCCGACCCCCTTCTTCCATCTGTCTGTCTGTCACCCCCAGTACTTGGACCAAGAAGAAATGGAAAGAAAGATAGTTGGGCATAACCAGGGACCATCCATCCCTGTGGACAGTTTTGACAATCTTAGTGAAGAGTCCTTTCATTTTTCATTAGGAGTCTTTTTTCCTTCCTTTGCTGGGAGTGGTGGTGGTGGTGGTGGTGGTGGTGGTGTCTTTCCATGCTGATTGGTTTGTGGATGTGCACATATACATCTTTGTTCCTATTTTCTCAGTTTTTACTCTTTTAAAACTTAATTTTGTTCTTTGAGGCTTAGGCTTTTTAGTTTGTTTTGTTCTTTTTTTTTGGTTTTTCTTCTTACTTTTTTTCTCCTTCTCTCTCTAACAGCCAGACTATCTTGGTTTTTCCTTACTTCTCTATATTTCCTTCTTCTTTAAAGCTATTACTTACTATGTATCTTCTATTTTCTCTGTTCATATTTTGAACATTTTACTTTCATATCCCATTTTCTTTTCTCTTATTTTTTACAAATTTTTAGAACTATTTGGTTTATATATTTGGTCTCTGTCCCTACCATTCATGTTGTTGCA